CACGGTTGTTTCAACAACAAAGAAGAATAGGGGTAGAATGGTTTAGCACTACCTCGGTGGACTCTTCCCGCTGTTTTCCCTTTCATTACAAGTCAAGTTTTGTAAGAAAAAGCATACTCATGCAATGACGAAATGAAAAAATTTGGCTTTCCAACATTGGGTAAGCAATCAGTGAGCATTGCGAGGGTCTATATGGAATTGCGACCATGTCCGTCTTTAAAATCTCTTATCTCTTTCTGAATTGATACAGAGAATGACATCCCTTTGTTCACTCAGCTTGCAGCCTTATTCAAAGTTTCCAGGAAGAAGCTAGTGGGTGCATTCCTAGCTGCTAACTATCAGCATAAACTTTTACCTGCCCTGCAAAAGAGAAAAAAGGCATCAGAAAAAACTGTTGATTTTCAAGATGAAGAAATCCAGAATATCGTTAACGAAGACTCGAACGTTGAAGAGAAGAATGAGCTTATCAACTGGGAATTTAAGATTTTCGTTTATGATATGTTGATCAAAATCATGACTGCAGCTGAAAAAAATCCACCTCTTATGCAATCTTTACTTTCGAAAATTCAAGAAATTGTCCAGCATGTCATTTGTTGGCACTGCGTCTCCAATTTTATTAGTTAAACCGTTAAGGGTGTGGAGTTGCTCGACAAAGCCTTAACCCTCTTTGGAAGTATGGAGGATCCACTCTATCCTGGGTCTTCTATTTTGGAACAGCAGCAAGCGCAAATAATCAGTGCATTGATTCCATGCTTTGGTTCTGATAGTGATTCTACCGTCATGGTTAACGCTATCAATGTCTCTTCGAAGTTCGTAAATCTTCCAAGAATCAAGTTTTACTCAAAGCAAAGAATCCTCAATACCTTAGCATTTTTATTGGAAGAGATTGCGTCGCACAAGTTCCTCAAGTTTGTTTCGTTGGAGGACATGGCAGAATACGGAAGAAAAGCTGTACAATTAGCGATCTTGAATTGTTGGGCTGTGCTCAAAATCAATTTAGAGGAACTGGAAACAGAGCCTGAACCCGAATTTCAGCAGATTCTTGACAAGTATTCAACACTCCTTTCGTCGTTGTGGATCTTGGCCCTTAAAGACTTATCAACTATAAAGTACAGTCAACCTAACTTAAAGGAAATTAAACTATACTCTACATATTGGCTAAACTTTGTGGGAGTCTTAAGTTTGGAATTGGAGAAAAACCATTCGACAATGTCGGACTTCTTGAAAGAAGAGGAAGCTGATTTCTTTTTTGTCTTATTTTGCCAATGTGCTGAGTCACTCATCAAGAACCAAAGCGTGTCTCAAGTACTACCTTCGGTTAACAGGTTGCTTCAAGTTAGAGAGCTTGTTAATGCGCTTTTCGATGACGAAATCTTCGGCGAGGTGATTGATTTATTGGATCGCCTAGTCCTCATGGAGGAAGATACGTCGGTGAAATGCGAGGTTTTGGATGTGGTGAAGACATTGTTCACTTCATTTCTCTCTATAAATGACACATTGCAGGAAAATGAAAAATCAAAGTTACTTGAATTAATGAGAGTTGCTATGCTACCATTGTTCGAAGCATTCCCTTTCTTGAACCAAGATTTCAATGTCGAGGAAGCGCAACAACAATCTGAACTCTCACAGTACAAGAGTCCCTCGAATTTTATTTTATTAAAGAAGCTGTTGTCGGTTTCCGTTTCTATGGTCGAGGCATTTAAAGACCATACAGAAAAGGAAGCGTTGTTTTCGTGTCTATTGTACATTTTTGCCAAATTTTACGAGCATGGAGACGACATTTTAGTTGGAATGATTCTTCCATTTTTAAAGATCGTCATAAGTGACTCTTTCGCCTTATCAGGGCTGAAGTTGCCTGTGCTGTTTTATAATGTGTTAAGACAAAGTGGGAACTTTCAACCAGGTGATTCAAAAGTCAACCATATCATCACAATGATGATTCTCCTCACTTCTGGTAGCGTTGAGTTGGATACGGAAGAAGTCGACTTGTTTTCTGCATCTTTGGTTCTGTCAGTAGCAAATCCAGAGACTGCACCCACAGCCATACACTCAATCAAGTCTTTGATCAAAAACTTGCTGCCCTCAGCGTCTGGCTCAACCCGAATAATCAGAAGCATAGTGAAAATTCTTTTGAAGGACTTGCTTTTGGAAGAGGAACCTAAAATTGATCAGAAACTAGCATTAGAGATTGTGTTTTTGGTTTCGCAGTCTGCTGCTGTGGATACGGTAGACAAGAGAATCTCGATGTACGCTGTCCTTTTGCCTCTTATTGTCAAATTCGATGAGCTGGGCAGCATCGATAGACAATATCTACACGACAAAGTGTTTGCATTGCTTAACAGCGATCCCAACGCCTTCAAAGCAGTGGTCAATGAACATCTTAGCGAAGAGCACAAGCGTGCCGCTGAAGCTTTGGTGAAATTCAAACAGAATGCAAGCTCCACCCTTGATCCCGAGGAAGACGGGATTGCATTAAAAACCTTCTCCTAGGATAAATGGAAGAACCACCAAAGATAGAAATATATGCCAACAAACAGTGTAAAAAAAAATAATGTAAGATACAAACTGGGGGATCAGCCGTGATCTGGGATGTCTGGGTCTGGATTACACAAGTCTTGGCTTTGACAAAAGAGTACAAACTAGACTTTTGCAAAGCTTCAACCCTCCGATTTTTGCATGGTATGCTAAAGTTCTCTTTGCTCTTTTCCCTTTGGCTCGTCCAAGTTCTTGCGAAAACACACGAGTTTGTTTTCAACGCAACTTTGGTGAGGGCAAATCCAGACGGCACTCATGAGCGGAATATGATTGGAATAAACGGCGAGTGGCCGCTTCCAGTGGTTCGAGTGGCCTTGGACGACCGTGTTATTATTCGTTTCAACAATATGATGGACGACAGAAACGCATCGCTCCACTTCCATGGCTTGTTCATGAAATCCGAAAACCACATGGATGGACCCGAATATGTCACCCAATGCCCTATTCCTCCAGGACACTCTTTTGTATACGACTTTTGTTGTGCAGCAGACAGGGACATACTGGTATCATTCGCACCTGGGCTCTCAATATAGCGATGGGCTTCGAGGCATATTCATCATCGAGGAAAAGAAGAAGGATGATTATCCTTTTGACTTTGACGTTGATTTGCCGTTGAGTGTGACGGACTACTACCACGAGGAGAGCAAGAACATCATCAAGAAAATGCTATCCCGCTACAATCCGACAGGCGCCGAGCCGATCCCACAAAATGCTCTCTTCAATGAAACTCGCAATGTGACATGGGAGATCGAGCCCGATACCACATATTACTTGCGTGTGGTGAATATGGGAATGTTTGTGAACCAATACTTGTACATTGAAGACCACACATTCACCATTGTGGAAATCGACGGAGTATATGTTGAACCAAGAGAGGTGGACTCTTTGCATATTTCTGTTGCGCAAAGATACGGTGTTTTGTTGAAGACTAAAAAGAACCCAGAGCAAAAATACTTCAGGTTTGTGAGCATATTGGACGAGACAATGCTAGATTTTTTGCCCCAGGAACTCCAGGTGATTTCAACAAACTATTTACAGTACCCAGGTTCAGGGAAAGAGCCCAGGCCTGACACATTAAAGAGCGGCCCGCGAGAATTTGAAAAGCTTGTGAATTCATTGCATCCCATTGATGATTTCGACTTGCGTCCTTTGGATAAGCAGGTATTGTTGGATGACCCTGATTACCAGATTGTTCTCAACTTTACAATGGACAACTTGGCAGACGGAGTCAATTATGCATTTTTCAACGGCATCACTTATACTCCTCCTAAAGTTCCTGCTCTATATACGGTATTGTCGAGCGGAGACCTTGCTTCAAACCCGACAATTTACGGATCAAACACCAACACGTTTGTTTTGCAGTACGGCGAAGTTATTGAAATTGTGATCAATAATATGGACCCTGGTGAGCATCCTTTTCATCTACATGGGCATGTCTTCCAAGTGATTCTGCGTTCCAAGGGATCAGACGACGAAGACGATCCAGAGATGTTTGACCCGGAAAACCCCGAGCACACAAAGTATCCGTCTCATCCAATGGTGAGAGATACGGTCAGCGTGAATCCGAATGGTTTCCTTGTCATTCGTTTCAAGGCAGAGAACCCCGGCGTGTGGTTTTTCCATTGCCATGTGGACTGGCATCTAGAACAAGGCTTGGCTATCACTTTGGTTGAAGCGCCGCATGAAATCCAAAAGAAGCAGAACAGTACCGATGTGTCTCATCTCGAAGCGTGTAACTACTTCCAGATTCCCACCGAAGGCAATGCTGCTGGTCACAGGGGTCCGTCTGAGGCTCATTGGCTTGACCTCAGCGGCCAAAATGTCCAGAAGAAGCCTTTGCCTGAAGGCTTTACCACAAAAGGCTATATTGCTTTTGTTGCATGTGCCCTTGCAGCCATTTTTGGCCTCTACTCCATTTACGAATACGGAGTGGAAGACATAAACACCGATAATGCAGAGCAGGTGGCTGCCAAGCTCCATAAGATTCTACAAGAATATGACGGAGGAGAATCTTCGGCCAGATTGATTCCAAATAATGGGGCGACTGATGAGGAGCACCTAGCCTCTACTACTTAGCATTACTTTACGTTCGTGCCATTTTGCTTTTCGAGAAACATCAAAAAATTTGAGTATTTATATGGAATGCATAATCATTGTTTAGCAGTAAGTTTAGCTTCCAGTATGCTGTCCATTGAGACTAGCGGACTGATTTGAGTCGCAAAGAAGATCCTTAGACTATATCAATCGATCAGGCTTTTAATGATTACACGAATAATGCAGAGATAAAGGATCACACTATTTGTTCAAGCAAAACACATATTCTCCACTCCAGATATTTTTCTGAGGATGTAGTGCGCCCAAAAATCCAGGTAATGCAAGTTCTCAAACACAAGAAAATGTGTTCGCATGAACAAAAGACAATCTATAAACAAAAATCTTGTTGGTACCGTTTGAACCAAACTTCCATATGGACTGAAGACCTGAATTCGCAACAGATAAAAGTAAGCCTGCAACTGAACATAATCCTGCCCTCGCCTTCTGGTATGCACACGCCTGCGTCTTATCGAAAAGAAGGGGTCTATCAATTCTAGTTCATCAGCAAAAATACAATGACTCTGCTTTTCGAATGGGCCTTTGGGAAAAAACTCACGCCTCAGGAGCGGCTTCGAAAGAACCAGCGGGCGCTTGAAAAGACACAGCGCGAATTGGCCAGAGAAACCACCAAGCTACAAGCCCAAGAGAAGAAGTTGATGCTGGAAATCAAGAAATCCGCCAAACAGGGCCAGATCGCCAGCGCCAAGATCCAGGCGAAAGACTTGATCCGAACGAAAGGCTACATTGTTAAGTTCAACCAGATGAAGGCGCAGTTGCAAGCGATTCTGTTGAGAATCCAGTCTGTACGGAGTAATGCCCAGATGGCGTCGCTGATGAAAGACGCTACACGCCTTTTGCTGGGCATGAATCGTCTGATGAACTTGCCGCAGTTGTCGCGGATTGCGCAGGAGTTTGCCAAAGAAAACGATCTCATGGACCAGAAACAGGAGTTCATGGACGACGCTATTGACGACGCCATGGCGCTCGACGAAGATGGCTTAGATGAGGACGAGCAGGCGGACGAGGTGTTGACAAAGGTGTTGGATGAGATTGGAGTTGATCTCAACACAAGCTTGAAAGACACGCCCAACCACATTAGTGCGCAAGAAAACCCCAGTGGCCGAGTAGCGGAGGCAGTGGGCGGTGGTTTTGACGAGGACGATTTGCAGGCTCGTTTGGACAGCTTGAAGAAGTAGCTACATTGAAAAAGATTGGGCAAGTGTGTCTAAATGTACTTCTATTTAACGGTCTAGATGTACTTCTTCTCTACCAAATAGTCAATGATGACTTGGGCACTTTGCTCGATACTCTGGCCATCATAGTTCTTCAAGTGGATCTCGGGCTTTTCTGGAGCCTCGTATGGGGCAGAAATGCCGGTGAATTCCTTGATGATGCCTTCTCTGGCCTTTTTATACAAACCCTTGGGGTCTCTCTTTTCGGCCACGTCCACAGGAACGTCAACGTAGACCTCCACAAAGGGAAGGTTGTTGCTTTCGTGCAATTCTCTGGCCACCTGTCTGTCCTTGATGTAAGGGCTGATGAAAGAAGTTAAGGTGACGCAGCACGAGTCGGTGAATAATTTAGCCACCTCGCTGATTCTTCTGATGTTCTCATTACGGTCACTTTCGGAGAAACCCAAATCCTTGTTCAACCCAAAGCGGATGTTGTCGCCGTCCAATCTGTACGAGTTCAAGCCTCTTTGCAATAACGCCTGTTCAATAGCACAAGCAATGGTGGATTTCCCGCTGGCAGATAATCCGGTCAACCAGACAGTGACACCTTTTTGTTTTCTGAGCTCCGAACGCTCTGTGTGCGATAAGTTGTCGTGCCAGGTGATATTAGTAGCCATACTGAGCTTTTGGAAGAAATTGAAGGTGACGAATCCAGCAACTGCAAATAACTTGGAAAAGAGAATAGAACAATAGCACGTGACCTTGGCACAAGCGGTCTTTATCGCATCCTGTCCGATACGATATATGCAGGACTAAGTCCCCAGATACATCAGAAGGCCCAACGGTCTCTAACTTGGTGCAAAAGGCTTTTGTTGTGGTTATTTCTTTGTTCCTTTGGTTTGTATCTCGATATTATTTGCTCTCAATAGAGCTTATGGTATAAGTAGTATGAGACATTTGGAAATGTTTGACAATGAGAAGATTGTGAAAATGTCAAGTTTTTCCTTTTTTTTTTTTTTTTTTGAGAAAAAATAGAACTTCCCTGGTACGACGGATCCATTCTACAATTTCTACAGTAAGATCCTAGGTGGTTTAGGGCCGGAATGGTACTTTTCAGCAAATGTGCAAGCTGCATTATCAATTCGCAGGAATCTATTGGTGAATGATTGGAACCCCACATTGTAGAGTATTTTTTCCACCATTTCTTTTACTTTTTCAGTCCTCATCCTTACACAATGTTTTTCCAAAACGATATAGTTATACTGCATTTGTATTTTCTAGGTCTTTTGCCTGCTGGGTATTTCTGGTACGGGAGGTACGGGTCCAGGGGAGTCAAGCCCGAGTCACTTTAATACATCGCACCCTTTAAATTACTATATAGTCTGACTAGTGTCTTCTCTCAAACTTCAGCACAATGTCTCTCCACACTACCAATCTCGATGGAATCTTGCCTCTTCTTGCGAGAGGAAAAGTAAGAGACATTTACGAAGTCGATGCCAACACTCTTCTTTTCGTGGCCACAGACCGTATTTCCGCTTACGATGTTATCATGTCCAACGGAATCCCCGGCAAAGGAAAGATTCTTACCAAGTTGTCGGAGTTTTGGTTTGACTTTTTGTCCTCGGAGGTGCCCAACCACTTGTTGTTGAAGCCTGAGGAGGATCTTTTCAGCCATTTGCCTGCTGAATTGTCTCAACCCAAGTACAAGGAGCAATTGGAAGGCAGATCTCTATTAGTGAAGAAGATGAAGTTGATTCCTTTGGAAGTCATTGTCAGAGGATACATCACGGGCTCTGCTTGGAAAGAGTACAAAAAATCTAACACTGTCCATGGCATGAAGGTCGAGCAGCAAAACTTGCAAGAATCTGAGGAATTTGCTACACCTATTTTCACGCCATCAACCAAAGCCGAGCAGGGTGAACACGATGAAAACATTTCGCCCGAGCAAGCTGCTGAAATTGTCGGCAAAGAGTTGTGTGACAAGGTTGCAGCCATTGCAATCAGATTGTACTCGAAGGCTAAGGAATACGCTAAAACTAGAGGCATCATCATTGCAGACACAAAGTTCGAGTTTGGTTTGGATGCCAATGACAACGTTGTCTTGGTGGATGAAGTCTTGACACCCGACTCTTCTAGATTCTGGAACGCATCCACTTATGAGGTGGGAAGAGGTCAGGATTCCTACGACAAGCAGTTCTTGAGGGACTGGTTGACTTCCAACAACTTGAACGGGAAGGACGGTGTCGCAATGGACGAGTCCATTGTGGTCCAGACCAAGAACAAGTATGTGGAAGCTTTTGAGGCTTTGACCGGACAGAAATGGACCGAATAGAATATAATAGTGCATGACATTTAATACATAACGTAGCTGGAGTTCGTTCAAGTGGCATAAGTTCAGTGACGGTTATTCTGGCGTAAGTAGCGTTCTTCAAACTCAGGAATGTTTCTTTTCTGCAAATTCAATCTTTCGAATTCGTCAGTGATGCGTTTTTTGTAACTACTTGTGGTTTGTGGCCCCACTGGTCTTGACGGAGGCAATTTGGGGTGGGCCATTTCCCACTCGTTGTTTTTTGTCTTCAACGGTAATCGGTTTTGCGGCTTCAACTGCTGTTGTTGCTGCTGAGTGGTATGTTGAAGTACCTGTTGTGGTGAATGCTGTTGGTATGTATGTGGTTGATACAAGTTCTGAGGCTGGAAGGTTAATTTCTCTTCGACAAGCTCTCTGGGACCCTTGGGTTTCATATTAGTGCGGTATCTCTCCAGTGATGCTGATGACGAGGTGTCTGAGTTTTGCGAGTTTTTTCTCATTAGTTCTTCTGCTCCGTCCAAAGTGCCCCGTCTTTGTATGATTTCTGAAAGTCTCTGTTGTACTTCTTGCTCGACAACATGCTTGAACTCCCTTTGGTAATTGAGACGCATTTCCTTGGCCTCTTGGTCCATTTGCCTCTTGCGCATCTCAAACTCATCAAGAAGCTCATTTTCTAGGCTTTTCTTTTGTCGAGCACATTCCATTTGCAACTTGTCATATTCCTCTTCTAGCTCATCCCGCTGGGTTTGAACCTTGGACTCGAGTGCTCTTAGTGCCATTTCTCTTTTTTTGAGCTCTTCGTTTTTTATCAATAATTGTTTTTGGAATTCGTTCAATGTTGAGTTAGCATTCTTTAGATCCATCTCCTTTCTGAACATTTTGATCGAAAGGTTTTCAAGCAAGTCGTAGCAGCTTGGTCTGTCTGCGGGATCGACAGTTATACTGTCATAAATTATGCTCCGAAGCTGTTGCGAGTATGCGCTTGAAATTTCAGGGATCTCACCGGTTTTTATCCTCGCCTGGAGTTGTAAATGAGTAGATGCTTGGAACGGCGGATGTAAAGTGCATAGTTCGTATAAGACACATCCAAGAGACCATATGTCACAAACAGGAGAATATGGGTTGTCCATCAAAACTTCTGGGGACATGTAATAAGGGGTTCCCACGTATGTCTTTGCGAATTCATTTTGGGACGTCAACATTTTGGCTAGACCAAAGTCCCCCAATTTGGCGGTTTTCCCAGAGTCTAGGAGGAAAATGTTATCTGGTTTGATATCTCTGTGGATGATGACTGTTTCTGAATTCACTTTTGGTTCGGGTCCTGTCGGTCTGCCAGTGAATAAATTCACCTTTTTAGCGTTGATTCCGTAATGACATCGGTGGAGGGCAAGTAACATTTGAACCATCACTTCCCATATAAACTCTTCGGGTACTGACTCTTTGTTTTTCTTGAATGTTTGGATGACCTTCCCCAAATCGCCTCCGTCACAGTACTCTTGGTAAATATGAATGGCCTTTTTCCCTGGTAAGTGATCATGTCGGAGATACCTCACGATGTTCGGATGATCAAGTTCTCGAAGGATTCGCAATTCCGAAATGATGTGGTTCTTTTCTTGATTATTCATGGACGTGTACTCTATTTCTTTCCTAACAAGTATGTTTCCATTATCTTTCTGGCGGACTTTGCGGACCGTACCAAACGATCCTTTTCCAATCACTTCTAATGGCTCATATTCGTCTTCAATGGAGCCCATCTTGGAGCAGAGTGACTCTAATGCAGCAAGCCTTTCCTGCGATTGGCTTCACGTGTGACGATGTAGTTTGCATTTTCCAGACTTACGGTGCTTGTATTTGGGTGAGTATTTTGAAATTGACCGAATGCGGCAATTGACATTTGCTTCTTCTGCATATAGGTACATGTGTCTTGTTAGATGGCTACATATTCAGGGACTCGCAGAGTATTTTATTAATGACTTGGAGGTTTCACTTGATATAATTACTTGATTTCTCCTTTTGCATATTCGTGTGGGCATTTTGTCTCGCGTGAGGTTTTTCTCACAATTTTGGAAATTTGTCTGATCCAAAGCGCGCAATCGAGTATTTATACAACATGAGCAATCACTGAGTGGTAACAAAGTAGAAGTTCCGATGTTAAAAATTCAATTTCTAAGAAACATGAAAAAAAAAAACCGAAAACAGACTATAAATCAGAGGTCCTGAATTGCAGTCTGTATCCACTGCAATGTGCTTCTGCTCACGGAAATAAAACTGTTACAAATTCAGTACATGTAGATGGTGGTTTTGGATTAACATTTTTCCGACATTTTCCAACTTCTTTGTGTATTTGAGCCACGTCTAGCTCCGAAGAGAGCAATATACAAGTTCATATCTATAGGAGACAACTTTATACTTAGCTTCATTTGCGCCAATAGGTAGTCGAATGCATGCTTGAATGCTCGTAGCGTGCAAGAATCATCATTGATAATCCCAACAGCTTGCTTCAAGACAACAATAGCTTGACAAACAGATACTTCCAGTATCAGTGATAACAGGTGGGATTCTAATATGGTGATTTATGATACCTGCAGGGTACCTACATGTTCCATGCGAGGAAAAGTAAGGGGTGCATAACTCATTTCTTTTATGCCACAAAGAATTCTGCCCATGTTTAGTCTCCCCTTGGTTCAACGGAATCAAATTGTCGTAAATACTGTCACCTGAACTTTTAGTGATACACATGATAAAGAGTTGTCAGGAACCTTAAATTTTACTAAACTCTAGGTGATTCCACAACGGAGCCAGCACGAAAAACATAAAGCATTAACCTACAAGATAAATTGAGCTGAAAGACAAGAAGGGTATTCGAGAGTTGTCAGGCAAATGATGGATGTACTGGTTTTCAAGGAGTCGTCATGGAGAATAAAGTTTGATTGACATTTTGAGTTAGAATCGTCGAAACAAATGGGTAAGTTTTAAATCCTAGATTGTGTAGTCCACCGTAATGCTTTCTACTGAGACAAATCAAAACTTCAAGTTGATGGTCTTACAAAATAGAATGGCTTCTTTGAAAGGCCTAACCGTTGCCTTTTCTACCTTTGTTCATCCATTTCTTCTTAGGCGTGGAAGAATAGCAGACAGACATATTATTGGATGGTTGTTTTCTCACTCATTCAGCCATTCGTTGCCTAATTATTTTGAAATTGTATAATATTCGACTAGACTATTGGAAAGTATACAGTAAGAGAATGTTCAGACCGAAGGATATTGATATGTCCATGGTAATTTAGTTGATGAAACCAACCTTCTAAGGCAATGAAGAGGTGAAGATGAACGCAAAGCCATTGTAAATTTTCGAGGCGGCCAGATCCAGCTCAAGAGTACCTTTGTGTATTGAAATGAGTTCAACATTGATAGCTAAGGTACTCACATAACAATTTCCACAACTACATTTAAAGGTTTTATTCATCTTTCAAATTAAAAGCTGATCTAAAGTCAGACAAGCTAAAGATGCTACCAGGATCAGAATCAGAACTATTATCATCCAAGCTGATTTTCTTCTGCAACACATTCGAGCTCATTTATTTTGGAGGATCTCAGGATTCCAGAGTTTGGGAATGAAACAGGCTTTAGGAAAATATATTAGCAAATTGATGGATTTTCTAAGCATGTCTTCACCTTATGTGGCATATCAAAGAAGTAGCCTTGTAACCATGATTAAAGTTTTATTCGACAGGAGGAGAAGAAAATCTCATTGTAACAAAAAGGCAGAATTTGTTCGGCCAACATTAAAAGGTCGAAGAGCTAAACAGAAGGTGCTGTGGTTTCTAGCTTCTATAATAGAGTTTTCGTGTTAGAAGTCACTCTTTAGGATTTGGCCCTATTCAGAGAAACCTAATAAGGCTAATATAGCGTCTAATGAACCTTTGAGTAGAGAGTAATCATGAAAGGGGTGTTTAACCATTCTCATTCTAGTTTAGGGAGAGCAACAGAGATTTCCCTAATGTTTTCATATGTAGCTCATTGGCTAGCATTATTAATGAGTAATTCGCAGTGTTCTCATTTCATGCTTGGAAGAAGGAAGATATAACAATGGAGTACTATTCAATAAAAAGGTATCAAATTTACGATCCTAAATTTCCAAAACCATCTTGTTGGAAGTCAAACGGACGGAAATTGCAGTTCTCATGGAGAACAGCCAAAATATTTTTGGGAAAAATATTATGACATCATCAAGCATTCGAGGAGAAACTTTGCGTAATAAATGCGAGAGGTAAATTTAAAATTCTGCAACACGATTTCGCTAAATCCTATTACTCTTTGGTTTCAAAGTATTTACTATCTTAGCTTTGCTGATCTCCTATTGTTAATTTTCGAAAGATTAGAGGAAGAAAAAAAAAAAAAAAATAATAAGCACTAATCAAATATTAAAAATTAAAATGTGCGCTGAAGAAAATATCTGCTGGGTGGTTGGTGCATGGGTGGATCAGAGATGCCACAGATATTTACGGCGAAGGGACTGTATTGGATCTGATCACATACTTAAGAACATGCTCTTAAGAATCACAAGCATAACTGATAATCGAAATAACGCAGGAGAGAAAAAATCATATTTTTTTTTCCCTTTTCGTTCTACTATGTACATGGTAACAAAGTGGAATCTACAACCGAACACAAATAACAAGAGCACAAATATGGGAAAAGTTCAAGACGCAATATGAAATAGAAAAGAGCAGGAGGTGGATGTTTCTTTAAGGAACGTGCACTTGAGAATGAATCACAACGATGTAGTATGAAAAGCAGGGTCTGTTGAAGAGGAATTATGTGCATTACGAACCTAGTATTGAGAAGTTTGATAGAAAAGTGGGCGTGCACTTGTTCGTTTAACCGAGGAGCACGAAATTTAGCTTATCCTGCAACTGGCTTTTACGAATGAACAAAGGCGCCCTATTTTTGGAAAGGAACTTAGAAAAGGAAGAAGAAGATTCGCGAAAAGATTCAGGAAAGCCCAAAGCTTTAGTATGACTACAGAAAAGACCCCTCAAACTGGTTTGTAATTAAAGTAATAGGGGAGTAGTAGCTCTGTCTACCATCGTCTCATTAGTTGGTTTCGGAGATAGGTGACGCGGGTATAAGAAAGGGTGTGAGAAAATAAAACTGTAGCCGTCAGACGAAAAAGAGCTCATCCTTTGCGATTTTCTCATTTACGGCATTGTTACCCGACTACTATCATGTGAGATCTAAAAAATATAGCTCCAATCTAATGCTTTGGCGGAAAATAGTGTGCGCGAATCTCACTCTCGTACTTAGGCGCCATGCAGTTACACGTACCGGGCCTTGTATGACAGAAACCTCATACCCTTATTGGGAGACGTCCATGTTAAGCCGCAATACATCTCAATTGTTTGTAGCCGTAAATTCAAGTGCATCGGCATATTGTTGAAAGTCCACAGGGGTAGGATGTTTACATCGTTAGTATCTGTAATGATTCTCAGCAAACTAACAGTTTGCACCCGAATGTAAACGAAAATTCGCTCTGCGAGAAGAAGTCAGGTAGATGAATAAGTATTCGAGGACATTTCTTTTCGTCCGAGGCACAATAAAGAAACAATGGCTGCATCGGTTTGAAGGTCTAGTGTAATAACCGAGTCGTGGCTTCCCGTCAATATCCTGTTCCTAGAATGCATCCAAGATGCACCTTCCCGTTTCGATTATGCACATTCTCGTTTCGATTAATGCAAGTGACCTTAGTCTAGACTCGCATGTCTGATACATTTACACATTGGTGGACTGAATGCAATGCTAGGCATAAACCCGAGCGGTAGAGAGACAGCAGACAATGCAATGCAAGATTCATGTGTTAGGTTGAAAATGAACCCACACAAGAAGTAAAAATAGCAGTAATTATGGAATTTAAGAAGCTGCTGAAACTGCAAATTTCCCAGTAAAACCAGCATGTTGTTCAAAGCATACCTTTGTCTTTGTTTTGTCGCATTAGCTTCTGCAACCACGGTTATTAATGCCTGTCCTGAGCAAAAGTTCACCTTCCATGCCGAGGTTGTGAACTTCCCACTATCAAGCATCACTATCACAGACCCAGCCTCTAATGGCGATGGAACATGGGATGTGACAATAAATTTTGAGGCAGCAAATACAATGCCGTTGAACTCATTGACAGAGTTGAAAATTTTGAGTTTAGCAAAGATATACACTCTATACTCATACAATCTCAAGGTTTTTGCAGTCACTAATCCCGGATCATGGTCACAAAGAGTGACAGTTACACCAAGATCAGTGGGCCAATACGATACTTGTATGCCGCAATTTACCATCCAATACGATTGGTGTAGTGCTGGTGTTACCGACATGTCATACTGCAACAGCTGGAAATACCAAGGGTCCTATGACTATATCACTGGTTGTGACAACTATGATGCAAGCACTGGCTTTTCCCAAAAAGATGCCCCCGACTACTGTTGGAACTTGCCTGCGTCTCTGACTTTGCAAAGCTCTCTGGCTACTTCTTCTGTCTCTAGTTCCACTAGTGTCCCCCCACTGGATGTAACGAAAAGTTCTTCGGTTCAAAGTTCGTCTGTTAGCTCATCAGAAAGCTCCTTTGTGCATAGTTCAACTACTCAAAGCTCCTCCTTTGCTGTCAGTTCAATAACTTCTACTGAAAGTTCTGTTCCACCAACATCATTGACAGAGAGTTCTTCGTTTGCGAGTTCTTCTAGTAAGAGCTCCTCTATGGCTACTTCTTCAGCGCTGACCTTATCAACTGAAAGCTCTTCACTTCAGAGTTCTTCTGTCAGTTCATCTTTCAGCTCTTCAATTCAGAGTTCTTCAATCAATTCTTCGTCTCATCCACCTCTCATCTCCTCAACTGAAAGTTCTACGGCACCAAGCTCCTCGACTGAAAGTTCTTCTCTTTTCAGTTCCGCAACTAAAAGTTCTTCAGTGCTCAGCTCTTCATCTACAAGATCCTCGATAAGCAGCGCCCAAAGTTCGTCAATCGTGAGCTCTTCTAGTGAGACCTCTTTCACGCCAAGTTTTTCTATTGCGAGTTCCTCTTCAGTGACTTCTTCTTCGGTAATTCCGTCTACCGACAGCTCCTCTGTTGTAAGCTCGTCAACGACCTCTTTTACTAGACGTTCCTCGACTGGCTTAACTGAAACTACATCTTACGGTTCCTCAAGTATGAGCTCTTCTTCCCAAAGTTCATCCACCGAAACTTCGTCGACTGAAAGTTCATTCACTGTGTCTTCGGAAAGTCTTTCTACTCAAACTTCGTATACTGGCAGTTCATCTGTTCTCAGTTCTACTGGAAGTACTCTGATAAGCTCAAAGATGAGCTCTTCTGAGAGTTCTAGTCACATACTGAGCTCGACAGGGGAAAGTTCTAAAAGCTTATCCACAAGCTCCTCCACATCCGCTCTGGTTACCACAACACTGAGTCTTTCGAAGACGTCTTCGATTGTCACGTCATCCATTGAAAGCTCTTCAATTACGAGTTCTGCGACTGTTTCTTCGACTGAGAAATCTTCTGTGGAGAGTTCTACAAGCATATCAACAGTAAGTTCTCTGAACAGAAGCTCTTCATCTGAAAGCAAGCCCACAGAAACTTCTACTACGAGCAGCTCCGTAAGCTCCTCTTTTGTGAGTTCATCCACTGGAATTTCTTCAAGCGAAAGCACAGTTGTTCTGAGTTTCTCTCTGTCCAGATCTTTAACCACACCAAGAAGCTTTGTGAGCAATTCAACCATGAGTTCTCATTCTGTACCTTCAACGAGCATTGCACGAGTGACTACCACGAGTGAAAGTCCTTCGATCTCACTTTCTTCTGCTTCAAGCGCTTCAGTGTCTACTGAAGTTCATTCTTTGACGTCTTCCATCTCTTCGTCAACTTTGCCAACTGCGTCTGTCGAATCCTCTTCCAAGATCGTATCAACTAGGGGTTCTTCAGAAGTTCCATCCACAACGACCACTTTATCAACAACTTATGTGACAAGCACATCTTGCAAAGACAAATCATGCACACTCGTCACATCGACAGTAACGATACCTTATGTCAGCTCCAACACTTGCAACGGCTTTTCATGTGTCGCTGCTTCTAGCAGCAAACAATCAACACCTGAGGCATCGGGCCCTATCCCATCTAAGACTGCAAAAACAGTATACAGCTCTTGTGAAGTTTCCAAAGAGATAACGAGTACTATATTGACTACCACAATCAATGAAGTCTCTTCTTCCTACGTTTCAGCTGAGTCAAGTACACCCGTTGTTACACCTTATACTTACATTGAGAGTACAGTTACAACGGTTCGTGTCTCAAGTTCAGAAACTCCATCTCTGTCGCTCGTTCTTGTACCACTTAATGGTGGAGTTCAAAGTTTGGGTATCTCTCCTTTTGGTATGCTTGCTATTTTGCCTCTTTTCTTCTGAGTTTCTGATTTACCGTTTTCTTTCGTTAATCCTTCAACCACTTTTCTGTCCACCACATTCCTGGGATTTTCTTGCATTATTTTAGCTTCGTATACTTTGCGCCTTTTCTTACCACTTTGATGCAGATGTACGGGTCTGCACACCATTATACCCACTTTCCTATACTCAAACTGTATGTGTATTATGAATAAAAAAATGAGAAATAATGAGCAGAAGTACAAAACTGAGTAGATATTCAGCTGTAGATTTGTCTATGTCTAAATTTGTGTTTCCCATATATGTCGCAAAAACCGGCGCTAATCCACATAGATTTGACATGTCGAGAAATCTCGTATTGTTAAACGGTGGTATTGTTTAACGGTGGTATTGTTATTGTTAACGGTGGTTGAAGCGTCCAGCTAGTGCTAATAATACTGCGTGTATTTCAAAGACGAGAAGATTTCATAGATACCGGAAAAGCATGTCCACGATTGCCGAGCAGTGTCCAAACTCTTTTAGCGCGGCTAAGTAGTGAACACATCAAGACGTGAATCAAAAGATGGTCCGATGTTTTACCGAGCATTGGGTAATGGAAAAGGCTCAAAATCCATTATTCAATTAGATCTGCACAGCCAATTACATTGTGAATGTGTTATTACCACATTTCGCCGACTTTCAGAAATCTCATTATCCACTCTCTAGCACTGTGCGCAAAAAAAACTTTAAAAAAAATTACTAAAACGCGGTTCCTCACTAAACCAAACCAACTCAAGGTCGTGTCTTCCTATCCAATAGACGACTACAAAAAGAAAAAAAGGACGCTGCCTAGTTCTAGAAAGACGCATAGTTGTAAGCGCGTCAAGTGACAGCAAATGTATGTTTGCTTAAATATTCCTGCGACAAGCGCATTACAGGTACCACATTCGCTTGGTGCCCGACTAAGCCCCACATTTAGCGTTTACGAAGAAAAGGGCGCCCTGAATTGAAGCAATTGTGGAAATGTTACGCGATAGCGAACCGTGCATGACGCACATTAGAAGGTGCAAGACCCCGCCAAAGCATGCGTGCTCAGAACCGAAACACATAAGCCCCAAAATATGCAGGTAACCGAGAAAATATACTTTATCGACGGCAGGAAGAAGTCCTGTCGCTTCTTCACCGTGGACAACAAAGGTTCAAGCTAAATCTACAAGAATTACCAGTATGGTGATGAAAAGTATCAATTAGAGCAAAGGACAGTTTAATAGAAGAAATAAAAGTAAAGTTAGAAACAAACCGTCTGGACTTTGCTGACGATGCATGATTACTAAGATTTACGGTAGGGCCCTATTGCTCTCGTCTAGGCAGATTTCAAGCTCTGTGCTGTTGACACGAGCTTCGAATAAGCAATCTGGTTTTGGTTATGCGCCTTCTCGGTTTCAGATGCATCAAATGCAAAAGCCATAGGCACACATGATGGCATATACATGGAATTTTACTTACTAAATATAAATTGGCTTGCCCAAAGCAGGCGTTCCTATATTTGTAGGCATTGCTACGCAGAATGAAAAGTAATCGTTCGCATACGGTGCACAACGAAGGGTTAAAAAAAGTGTCCGTTCTATAGCGCAGCATTTAGGCGAGCAATTCTAAATCGGTGCAGGCCTCATAACCATATGCGTCGGGTATAAGCTTGCGTACTCTTTGGACCGGCAGCTAGGAAAAGGGTCACAATTCGTAAAGTGTGCAAGCGTCTACAGCAGCATGCACCCAGATATGGAATTCGTGTCGAAAATGTGGGCCTAGGATTCTAAACACAACAACACAGGTACGTAGGATCTTATTATTCATGGAAAAAAAGATGAATGAAACTCCATCTTTTCAATCTCGTATTTTACTATTACAAGAAAATAGCATCAATGGGATCTGGTATTTCACAATATTGGAACAGAAAATGAGGACAATAGAAATCTTGCATCTCGCGTAAATTCTTTTCTAGAACCCTCATGCACGAACATGCCTCAACCGCACATGCATAATACGCGAGAATGCGAATGCAAACTAAAGCTATTGCAGAGGTACCAAAAACCTTGCCCATATAAGATCCTGAAATCTCGAAATCTTGTAATGCTGTCCTGCTCTATATTCCTCCAGTATGCTTTTGCAAATACTACTCCAGGTTTTCTCCTTAGTGACTTTGGTGAGCGCTGGCTGCAAGCCATCTAAAATCCTCAGCACAGGATTCAAAGTCGTGGGATATAATTATCCTCATGGCTCTACGGAGGGTTGGAACAAAGATTTCCTTCAAACTGGATACAAAGCTCGTGGTAAATTCTTCTCCACCGACGAGGTCACTGACGTTGCTTTCTACTATGGTACAGCTGGTGGTATTGTCACTCAAGGTCAACTTTATGGTGAGACGATTACCATTACCAATTTCACCATCGAGTTGACTGGTTACTTTGTTCCAGACGAGACTGGAGAATATACGTGGTCCATTGACAACGCTGATGATGGTGCAGCTTTATCGTTAGTCACAGTGGGTGGATGTTGTAATGACGTCGGACAAGTGACTAGCGAATTCGCCATCAGCACATTGCGTGGATACGCTGGAGCCGGAACTGCATCTTCAAAATCTACCACCGTGACTTTGGAAAAAGGATTGGCATACGCCATCAAAATTGTCAACTTCAACTGGAACGGACCTGCTTCTTTAGGGGTTTCTTACGTGACGCCTTCCGGTAAGACTGTCACAAACTTTGACCATATTCACCAGGTGACTTTCCAAACTGATAACTGTGAGGTTCCTCCTGTTCTTACTACTACAACTACTTACGGAACCAACAGTATCCACACAAAAACAGGTACATACACCCCATCAGACTGCTCTCATGTTTCCACATGTACTATCACAGTCGTCCCACCTCAAACCACGACTACCATTACCAGAACAACAGATACTACTCTCCCACCTGGAACTTACACCCCATCTGACTGTCCTCATATTGCTAGCTGCACAGTTACTGTTGTTCCACCACATACCACCACTACCGTCACCGAAAAGACTGGTACTGTTCCTGGCACATTTACACCATCCAATTGTGCTGATGTGGAAACTTGTACTGTCACTGTTGTACCTCCACACACGACTACTACAGTAACTGAAAAGACTGGCACAAATCCAGGCACTTTCACACCATCTGACTGCGCTGATGTTGAAACATGTACTGTCACTGTCGTTCCACCTCATACTACTACAACCGTTACTGAGACTACCGGAACTGTTCCAGGTACAATTACTCCTTCTGATTGCGCTGACGTGGAAACTTGTACAGTCACCGTCGTTCCACCACATACTACTACAACCGTTACTGAAACTACTGGGACTGTTCCTGGCACATTTACACCTTCTGACTGCTCTGATGTTGAAACTTGTACAGTTACAGTTGTTCCTCCACATACCACTACTACCGTCACCGAAAAGACTGGTACTGTTCCTGGCACATTTACACCTTCGGACTGTGCTGATGTGGAAACTTGTACTGTTACCGTCGTCCCACCTCATACAACTACAACAGTAACTGAAAAGACTGGCACAAACCCAGGTACTTTTACACCTTCTGATTGCGCTGATGTAGAAACATGCACAGTCACAGTTGTCCCACCTCACACGACTACCACTGTGACAGAAAAAACTGGCACCGTTCCAGGTACCTTTACTCCATCTGACTGCGCAGATGTCGAGACTTGTACAGTTACTGTTGTACCTCCACATACCACTACTACGGTTACAGAAAGTACCGGCACTGTTCCCGGCACTTTTACTCCATCGGATTGTGCTGATGTTGAGACATGTACTGTCACTGTTGTTCCACCTCACACTAGAACTACTGTAACCGATATAACTGGAACTGTTCCAGGTACTTACACTCCTTCAGGATGTGCTGAACTTGAGACCTGTACTGTTACAGTTGTTCCACCACATACCACCACTACTGTTACTGAGACTACTGGTACCGTTCCGGGCACTTTCACGCCTTCTGACTGCGCTGATGTGGAAACATGTACTGTCACTGTCGTTCCACCTCATACTACTACAACCGTTACTGAGACTACTGGAACTGTTCCAGGCACATTTACACCTTCGGACTGTGCTGATGTGGAAACTTGTACTGTTACTGTTGTGCCACCAGAAGTCAGATCTTCTAGTTCTGCATTGTACTCAAATGTGACATCTTCTGCTCCACAAACCTTGACCGAAACTGACACTACACATACTATCATTACTGTTACGTCTTGTCTGGACCACAAATGTGTAACCAGTATCGTTTCGACAACCCTGGGAAGCCAAATTACATCTTCCACTAGTGCATTCCCACTGTCTTCGGACATTAACAGTTCAGTTCCAAGCACAGCTACCCAGTCCACAGGTTCTGAGTCTTATACCGAATCATCCAAGTCTGGTGTGGTAAGTGAGTCAACAGTAACCAGCACTGAGACAACCAATACTCAAGCTTCAGGAACTGCTTCTTCTGGTGGAAATGTCGAAACTACATCTTCTGGTTTCGAACCTTCCTCTGGTACTGAAACAACATCTGGTGCTGTTGGCACTTCCTCTGGTGTTGAAACTTCGTCTGGTGCTATTGAAACTTCTAGCTCTATTGAAGCTTCTTCTGGTGCCATTCAGTCCTCATCTGGTGTATACACTCAGCCAACACTTAGTTCTGAAGCCCCAAGCTCAAGCATCAATACTCAAACGGCTTCGAACACCGTTTCGAGCTCGTTCAATCCTCCTAACACTGTCGTTCCAGGTACTGCCTCTAACGAGGAAACCTCGAGTTCCAGATCTGGACAACAAACTTCTGAATCAACCACTTCTGCTCAGTCAACTTCTGGATCTGCTACTACCCCAGGTTCCAACAGTCAGCCTAACGTCACTGGTTCTGGTTCTACTCCAAGCACCGTATACACTGTGACTGTTTCCTCTAGCACACAAACTCCTGTGATCAATACTTCCTTCGAGGGCCTTGCTAGCAGGAAATCAATGAGCTTCTCCATTTTGGCTCTTTTCTGCGCGTACTTGCTTTAGAAGAGTGAAATTTTACAGATAATTTCATACCTTTCACCTTCTTGCACTTGGCTTTTATTTCTCATGTACTAATCTTCTCTCTAGGACTTATATTACGAATTCCAACATCTCTTTCGTTCTGACCAATTTTGCAAAATATACATATAATTAATAATACTGGTTGTAATGTTAAGTCGACTTTTCACAAAACCGATCTTATTCTCGACCAAGGATAGAAATCGATATGATATACTCGTGACCAAAGTACGGATTAACTTTATGGTTCACCTAAATTATCCTTTGACAAGAGCTTGGATTCCCACTTAGTAGTTAACCAAAATAGTGCACTTGAATATATACTCACGACTGGTAATCAGAATCTATAAGTTTCAAATGGAGTGAAAAAGAAGAATCTTAGTTCCTGTAGCAGAGACGAAGCTATGTATCCAGCTCTACCATGATCTCATGATTCGCCGCTGTTTTGTGTGCACCGTTCCTTCTCTCTTCGAGATGCTGAACGGCTTATGTATTTTTACTGTTTTATCACCTTTTGTCATTTTTGATTGCTCATTATTTTAGTCACTTCGACTTTAATTTCTTTCATTCATTGAACATTTTATATTCCTTCATCATCCTTAGCTACTCCCCACATCGTCCCATACACGCCAGCTATCTTGCGTCTCAGCATATGAATATACCTTAGAGTCACACTTCAACTTGCTTGTAGGTCCCATGTAGCCGTAGTATGCCACCATCCTCGAGTGTAATAGGCTGCCTTTACCTGCCAGTTCGAACAGCTCGACATGTTGATTGCCACTTTCGTGTCCAAGAGTGTACTGACATGCCAATACCATGGAACCTCCGGTCGTATAATAACCACCGGGTTTATAGTAATTACCGGCCGAACATCCGTTGAGTAGGACTACATCACTGTTGTACCCATCATCTTGTTCCAGCAAGATAAAGTCAATACGCATGCCTGCATTTTTGGAGTACCGGACCACATGGACAGGCATGGCATGTGTATCATTGTGTTCGCTGAATGCGACCCCAACGAAGTCGCTTAAGTACTTACCAGCCAAATCTGTGGGCATGGCCAATGTGATATTCTCAAAGCTAAACGTGGTCATGTTAGTGTCGTCATCATCTATACGCTTGGACAATGGGTGCGTCAAGTCAATGTGATACAATAAAGTGCCATCAGCATTAGTGGTTGCAACGTAATTCACACCATGTTCTTCTAGGCCGTACCAACCTGTAGAATATCCGAACCCTTTGGCTCCAATAAGAAAGGCTGCAGATGCCCGGCCGACTGCCTTAGAGCATTGAAATGAAAAGATAAACCCTTGGCCACCATTTTGCTGCCTCCAACAGTTGGTATACACGTCTTCAACTATCACAGGAGCAAAGAAGCCTACACCTGCTATAAGAGATAATATTCCCTGGGCTGTTGAGGCTGGGGTTAGTATCCACAGTAGGAAGTCAATAGCTATGATCAGCGGAATTAGTATGAACAACACGCCGTAAGTTGTTATACGAAGCATGAGTGGTGTTTTGGCGGGGCAGAGCGGGGCAATAGGTTTATCAGCTATGCCTGACGATAGAGCAGCGATATGGGTAGTATGATAATACGAGTTCAATAACGATGCTTCGTAACTAGTAACTAGCGAATGAGTAGATGTGCTTACCTTCCCCCCTAGAATTACTCCTGAGATTTATAATATTTTTGAATCCTAGCATTGGTACGGCTCCAGTCTGTTGGAAGGTACTGATGTTATTTGGCGAGATAACACCATGCATGGGATGGTCTCCGCTTCGACTCCGGACTCGTCCTCTTTTTTGCAGGATTGGTTTTCGAATCTCTAGACTATGGAAGCTTCAAATATTTGTCTTGCCAGCTTCATATAGGTACCTAATACGAGTCTAGTGAAATTGCTTTCCCTATCCAGATAAACCTTCATACCCTGAATGTATTAAATCGGCTATTGAAATACCTAAAAATCATAATCTTCCTCGCCTTTAAAAAATTATTCGTGATCGAGATAATTGGGCTCATAAGTTTCACTATAAGGTGGAACAAGTGTGAAGGTGATTCTCAACAACAAGAAGTACTGTACAATTACTCTCACAAAGTTCGGCCAAGTTAAATTTTTCTTTTTCTGCTAACAGAGAATTTTAGGCATGTTTCTTCTAGTAAATTCTTCTTGCTACTTACTTTCTGACTTGGTTTTGTCACCGGGAAGTAGATTAGCTGAATTGTTTTCTATTTTCATTTTACTTTTGCATTCTCCTTTTGTGATTTCTGTGTAAAGGCGTCGCAATTTCTTGAAAAATGGGAATGCGAATAGGGAGATTTGGGAATGAAAGAATGGCGATAACGTTTTCGAATAGTCGATCAGAAAAGTTGAATGAATTAGAAGGCTAGAGATTGAATTCCCGAAATCAGCGGCTCTGAAACTATACATGTTGAATTTCACTCCTATTGTCACGGTTCGGGTTCTGGAGGTAATTATTATAATTTTTGAACATGCCAATATCGAGGTGCGCCCTTGGTTCTTGAACTTACTTACTTGACATTAGGAGGGGGTTTCAGCTTTTGGAAGCACTGGCTTTGGAAGGGGGCGAACAATAGTGTGAAGTGATTTTTGGTATATCGTACGTGTATGCCAGATCTATCTAGGGTTCATTGTAACCACTAAGGTAGCCATAGACCAATGTTACAGCGTCGGTGGAGAAACTTTTCCGTCCAAGTCCCTAGGAAGTTCCGTTATTTGTTCTTTCGTTTGCATGGTGCTGCTCCGCGAGCGAGGCAATTCCGTAGCTTAATTCCTAAAAGAAAATAGTAATGCGCTTGTGCAGTAAGACTGTTATAACCCATGCAAGTGTGTATGCAAGCCATTGCTAAAAGGTGTGAGGCTCATGATGTAGTGCATGATGCATATGACTGATACCTCTGCCTAGTGTGCTTCACCATATTTTGAAGACTTTGAAGAGCATGTCATAGCTCTACTAATCGCTCAAAGTAGCTGAAAAAAATGGAATTCCTTCCTTTCCCTGGCTCCTCTTCTTCCCGGAATTTTCCATAGATAATACTCGTCCATTTCAAATCAATAGCCCCATGACCTCCTCTACACATTCATGCGATAGTATGTAGTTACATGGCTCATATAGGACCAGCTTCCTCGATAAGGAGCTGTTGCTATTCATGGGAGCCATATTGGGTCCACTTCCTGCTATAATGAAGAGAGACAGGACCGTCCAAGCTTGAACAATGAATCAACTTTGACAGTTGTTACAATCGAAAATCGTTAAGCTCGACCTCTATAATCAGAGGGGCTGAGGCTTTGCCAACAGCCAGATACTAAGCAAAATATGCAACCAAAGAATGTTTCGATCCAGATTTCGGGACATATCAACGGAGTTTGAGCATTGAGTTACAGTACGTACCGCATGGTTTTGTATCTCTACAAACATGCGCCACCGAATACTCTTGGCTATTATGCACTGTGTTCATTCGGTAATCTCCCTCTTCATTTTTAGATCGAAACCAAGCCAAAATATTGCTGCCGGTCAAGTCTATTCGTATGTATTCTTTGGTAAGCAGTTCTGAAATAATTGCTAACAAAACCCCAGATCCATAAAAATTCATAGAGAACCGCAAGTTCCGGAAATAGTAGGTAAGAGCCTCGAAGAATTGAAGGACATAAAAATGGTTTAGCAACAGCACAGTAGTCGCGATTAGTGCAGCTCGTAGAGGGCTGGCAGAAACAATTTGGAAGCAGATACAAAATGCAAACAAACATTTTACAGGGGATGAAAAGTCATGTTTAACGCAATTGATGGCAAACACCATTAGTTATTAGTGTATTTCTGAAGATTAATGTATTTTCACGTTACAGAATTAAAATAGTAGACATTGTGCTTTGCTGAGTCTATTCTATTCAAATATCAAGGGCAACTAGTCATGGATAGTTGATGATGTTTCCTAACCAATACGACTAGAAAATCGGGGATGCGCACATGAACCGCACTTGCGTCAATCATGGGAGACAAGCTGCATCGCGCCATGCATACTAAAGTATGTCTGAATTTGTGATGCATGCATAATGCCATATCAGTTCTATGCTTCCAATTCATTGGTGGAAATAGCTTCCCTGCTTTCATTTTTCCGATACTTGCGGTTAGTACACAAGATTCGGAAATTTTAAGCGGATGATATACAAACATGTATAGCGCAGAAGAAGCATAAGTATTTCGCGAAATACGGCTACTACACCATTTCTTCAAACCAATCTTCGTAAAAAAGCATCAAGTAGCATTCCACCGAAAATACTTGACAAGAATTGTGCTTCAAAACTCACCACGGTAATATCGACAGTTTTAGACCGGATACACCTGATATGAAAGCAAACAGTGTACCAAGAACCTAATTACAGTATCCCAAAAAATTTCGTCCTCGGTCCGTTCCTCCCTTCTTCATGTCATAGAACGCGCGGTGACAGAGTTTTACTGCATATAATATACTTTGCATCTACCAGAGCACTTATTCAGCAAGTATCTCTTAGTCAGGTAGTTAGGAAATGGATCCATTGGATAAGTATGGTTGACAACTAGTGTAATAAAACTTTGAGAGTAAAAGTAAAACTAATGTTGATGATCGACTTCTCTGTCAATACTTCCTTCAGTTGAGGCACCCAGAGTTAATCCGGCTTGATAATGCCAAAAAATATCCCTGCACTATATTACTAAAATTCGTTATTCGCGTGTCTAGTTTTGCTCTCGTACTTCACCGGAGAAGAGAAATGGCGTACCATTTTGGCACTTGCATGATCATGCATGCACAGAAACAAAATTTTAGCGATTTGCATGAGCAGTTTTGTAGAAGGAAAAAATTGGAGGGGAACGAGTATGTATACTACACGATTATTAAACGGTTGTTTGACACTATGATTAACTTAGTCCCGTATTAATGATTCTTTTCAAGCCAAAGTTCTAAAGTGAACGTTGTCGTAGGGATAACTAATGCACGATAGATGTCGGCCAAGCAAAAAACACGTCACAGGCTAATCATGTCAGTATCACAATTCATGTTTGGGGGTTCAATGTGGCCAAATTCACTGTTTTGAAAAAATATTAGAGCTCACAGATACACTCACGCATGATCCAAGATCCTGTCTTCATGGAGGCTGAAGCTAAACAAAAACGGATCTTTCGGAAAGTTTCATTAAATTCCGACTCCTGCCTGAGCATCCCTAGATATCTCGACATAAAGAAAAATGACTAAGGCAAGGTAGTTCGCTTACGGGAGAGAAATCTTAGAATACGAATCGCTGTACAGAATCCATTTTAGATGTTTCCCAGCCTTAGAAAGGAAAATCTCAAGGAAGGGAAAGAAGGATTCAAAGTTGTCGTGCATCTCCGTGCGCTCAATTCTAACGGTACATTTATTTTTCTGCATGCACCAGATGCGTTCAGATCCATTAAAGGCATAGGATTGGCGTACAGTCCTGGATCAAAATTTAATCTGTATCCATTGTCCTAGCCTTAGTAGAAGAAATAGTGGTAAGGGTGAATCTACAATATTTTTTGCGCCGGGCGAAAGTACACCAAAATAACGATAAGGAAAACAAAGCGTTGGTGCATGTGGCATATCGCAGCAGGACTAGATTTAAGCGGCATGCATGACACCGAATGCCGAATCTCATGCTGGGTGCCAGTTTAGTTTTCTCACCAGAAGCGGAATCCGAGATAGGCAAATGCGATAATCTGACATGCTCTTAATAACCCGGTTTTCCCACTTTTTCGACGACAACTGAGTAATGTGGTTTGCTTCCAGCTTCTATTTGAGCTTGGCAACCATATTTAATCTTGCGCTCGGATTAACTGTTGTCTCAACGGATGAAGAAGGTTATGGAGCTGCAAACTACCTTGACGATTTACAAATCAATGCTGGAAAAACCCTTTCTTTCGACAATAGATATGGTATCTTGATGAACATCTTCACTGGTGAAGTTACCAATAATGGACGCTTGTTCATCACCGATTCCGGTACCAATCTCGGTATGACTGTCAACTTTATGCAAGGTATTTATAATACAGGAGAGGTTGTTCTCAATGCTGTCAATGAGTTGGGGGCACCAACTTTCAACTTCTTGGGCCTTTATTTTGTGAACCATGGGCTGATATACATGGGAGGAGAAGGAGCCATTGGCACAACAGTTATGGACATTTGGCCCCTTTTGACGGCGACTCCAGAAAACTACGGCACTATCACTTTTGCTCAAACCGTTAGTTCTGGCGGTGTTGCATTTTTTGGACAAATTGGACAAAGCGTTTACAACAATGGTACCATCTGCTTATCTGAGATAAATTTACAACAGGATTCTCTGGTCAGTGGTACAGGATGTTACTCTGTTGGAAATGATTCCATGATTCTTTTGGACTCTCCTGTGACCTGGGACTTAGGTTCGGGCCAAACAGTGTATCTTGAAACGCCTACTTCGGCCATCCGTATTGGAGCGTCAACGCCTCTCAACAACATCAACATTGCTGGATGGGGTAACGGGAACATGATTGGGTTTGCGGCAGGTATCATCACTGGTGCAAATATTGACGGTGAGATGTTAGTCGTTTACCAGCTATTTCTTCCCTTTTATTTCTATGTTGGTCCTGGTTATGACAGTCAGTACATTCAAATCGGGGGCACATACTCGAAAAACGGTTTTATTGTCATGTCTTATGTCTCTTATAGCCAGCCTCCACCAAATCCTAACCGGCCTGATGTTTGCAATCCATGTGGTAACATCTACCAGATTCCCGCTGCCCCTACACCCAAGTTCAACTTTTCCGATGCTGGCAATACAAGCACTCCTCCAAGTGATTTATTCCTGAGCTCTTCCGAACCCTTGAGTTCAAGTTTGTTCACCTCCTTGGACTCTAGCACTGAATCCGCACCCAGTATCACATTCAGCTACAGCCACGCATTGAACTCCAGTTTCCAATTGAGTTCGGAAACCTTGTCAAGTGCCGATTCTTCAAGCTATGGTAGTTCAAGCTATGGCAGTTCCACCTATGGCAGTTCCACCTATGGCAGTTCCACCTATGGCAGTTCCACCTATGGCAGTTCCACCTATGGCAGTTCCACCTATGGCTCACCTGGTTTTGGGTCAAGCGTCGAGCCAAGTGATGTTGCTTCTGGCTTCAATACGATGTCCGGTTCTGGTCTCGGGTCTACTTCTCGTTCTGGATCAGGTGCCACTTCAGGTGCAGCCGCAAGTTCCATTGGCTGTTCCGGTTGCACTTCATATATCACTACTGTCCCGCCCAGTATCCTGGGAGCCCCAGCCGAAACCGCCGAAATCATTGTTACTACCCAATCAGATGGCACTTTGACCACATTGACTTCGCCTTTTTCGGCAGACTCTGCTACGGTTTCGGCCATGTCTAATTCCGCGTGTTCTGGCTGCACAGAATACACCACTACTTTTACTTCGCGCGATTCTTCAGGCGCCGAAGATACTTTAACTGGTGTTGTCGACGTTACTACAAACTCAAATGGAGCTTTGGTTACGCTGACGTCTGTGATTTCCGGAGCATCGTCTTCTGGTTCTTCTACTAAATGTTCAGGATGCACTGAATACACCACTACGTTTGCATCCAGTGACTCTACTGGCGGATTAGACACTTTGACTGGTGTTGTTGATGTCACTACAAACAGCAATGGTGCTTTGGTAACTCTGACTTCTCTTCTTTGTCCGGACTGCACGGAATACACCACTACGTTTGCTTCCACTGACTCTACTGGAGGTTTAGACACATTGACCGGTGTTGTCGATGTCACTACAAACTCGAATGGTGCCTTGGTGACGCTGACATCGATTATCTGTTCTGACTGCACGGAATACACCACTACGTTTGCTTCAACTGATTCCACTGGCGGATTAGACACTTTGACCGGTGTTGTCGATGTTACTACGAACAGCAATGGTGCCTTGGTGACGCTGACATCGATTATCTGCTCTGACTGCACGGAATACACCACTACATTTGCATCCACCGACTCTACTGGCGGATTAGACACATTGACCGGTGTTGTTGATGTTACTACAAACTCGAATGGTGCTTTGGTTACGCTGACGTCTGTTCTTTGTCCAGACTGCACTGAGTACACCACTACATTCACCTCGCTTGATGCAGAGAGTTCACTCATTACTTTGACCGGTGTTGTTGACGTTACGACAAACAGCAATGGTGCATTAGTGACTCTGACTTCTCTCCTTTGTCCCGATTGCACGGAATACACCACTACGTTTGCATCCACCGACTCTACTGGAGGTTTAGACACATTGACAGGTGTTGTTGATGTTACCACCAATTCTAACGGTGCTTTGGTGACACTGACTTCTGTTCTTTCGGCATGTTCCGGATGCACCGAGTACACTACTAGATTCACGTCTCTCGATGCGGCTGGCGATGTTGAAACATTGACCGGTGTTGTTGATGTTACCACCAATTCTAACGGTGCATTGGTGACACTGACTTCTGTTCTTTCGGCATGTTCCGGATGCACCGAGTACACTACTAGATTCACGTCTCTCGATGCAGCTGGCGATGTGGAAACATTGACTGGTGTTGTTGATGTTACCACCAATTCTAACGGTGCTTTGGTGACACTGACTTCTGTTCTTTCGGCATGTTCCGGATGCACCGAGTACACTACTAGATTCACGTCTCTCGATGCAGCTGGCGATGTTGAAACATTCACTGGTGTTGTTGATGTTACAACCAACTCCAACGGTGCATTGGTCACTCTGACTTCTGTTCTTTGTCCAGACTGCACGGAATACACCACTACATTCATATTCAGTGACTCTACTGGCGGATTAGACACTTTGACTGGTGTTGTCGATGTTACTACAAACAGCAATGGTGCATTAGTGACTCTGACTTCTTTCCTTTGTCCCGATTGCACTGAGTACACCACTACATTCACTTCAACTGATTCCACTGGCGGATTAGACACTTTGACTGGTGTTGTTGATGTTACTACGAACTCGAATGGTGCCTTGGTGACTCTGACTTCTTTCCTTTGTCCCGATTGCACTGAGTACACCACTACATTCACTTCAACTGATTCCACTGGCGGATTAGACACTTTGACTGGTGTTGTTGATGTTACTACGAACTCGAATGGTGCCTTGGTGACGCTGACTTCTGTTCTTTGTCCAGACTGCACGGAGTACACCACTACGTTTATTTCAACTGACTCTACTGGCGGATTAGACACTTTGACTGGTGTTGTTGATGTTACTAGAAATAGTAATGGTGCTTTGGTGACGCTGACTTCTGTTCTTTGTCCAGACTGCACGGAGTACACCACTACGTTTATTTCAACTGACTCTACTGGCGGATTAGACACTTTGACTGGTGTTGTTGATGTTACTAGAAATAGTAATGGTGCTTTGGTGACGCTGACTTCTGTACTTTCGGAGTGTTCCGGATGTACTGAGTATACGACTACGTTTACCTCCAGTGACTCTACTGGTGGATTGGAGACTTTAACTGGCGTTGTGGATACTATTATGAATTCCAATGGTGATTTGGCGACAGTAACTTCTGTTTGCTCAGGTGCTGTGGCAAGTGTACTGCAAAATATTTTGGAGTCACATACTTTTTCTCATACCCTACTTTTGACGACTGGTGCGTATGTGAGCAAAGTTCCGTCTAGTTCGACCTTGCTCTCTGATGTTGACCTCCTGATTAGCAGTCGTAGTGTCACAGTATCGCCTTCAAGAAGTACCAGTTTTGCGCATTCTGCCGACACTGACGAACCTGGGATGCATACGGGCACTTTCTCTGTGGCTACTTTTGAGCCTGCAAAGTCGCATGTTGTTGAGGGGCTGAATGTGAATGTAGATTCACAAACGTTCCTGAGGAAAAAGACTCTTGCGTCAACCGGTGGAGCCGAAGCACCTGTTATCGCCAGTACGTTGACTTACAGGTTGTCCAGTTCAGGAGTTGCTGCAAATTCAGGACTTGGCCAAATTTCAGCTGCTCCTTCAGCAACCTCTATCGCTGGTGGTACAAGATTTAAGCGCACTACTGGTTTTGCTGCGTTGCTTTCACTTCTTGCAATATTTTTATTGTAAGGACTACTTTTAAATTTCTTAAATTTACTCGGTTAGTACGGGATCACCGTACGTCCTATACAGGGTGTTTTTTTTTCGACTTCCAATCTTCGGAGAGTTGCAGTATTTTTAATTTTCATATTTTTTTTGATATTCGTCTTCTCATATAAACATGTAGGTAACAAAATTCACCAAATTGAAGCAGTAACCAGAGAATGAGAGCTGCATGTTTATGTAACTTTACTGTAAGGGATGAGGATGAGGTTTAGACTCAAGGAAGTAAGGATAATGAATCCTTGAAAAGTAATAATCCAAGTATTCTGCTCAATTGTTTTCTTTTGGTTTGGTAGCAGAGCTTTCAATGTCTGTGCGATGTCGAGAAACAGATTTCGAGAATGAGCCATTCTCATTTACATAATTTTGAAGAATGAAGCAAAGACCTTGATTTGCATTCTATCCAACTTCGTTGAATGTGATCAACCAGAGAAGATTAAGGATGCCACGGAGCTATCAAAAAAGGTCGCTTGGCACATTCAGATTAGCAGGGTTACTCACGTATAAAACAGATGAACATTTGTAAAGAGATGTATTAAAAGAAAAGGCGGAGGCACTGTGCATGAAAAGTCCAGTTAAGCATGCTTTTCACAATGAATGCGCCATTATGAACAAAGTTGAACTTCCTTGCATTAGCCATCCAATTGTGCGTTGAGCTATTGAAGCCAAGCCTAAGTCAACAGTCTCATCGTTTCAAATATGACTACTGCCTATCCATCTATTCTTTGTTCTCAGGAAATACAATTTTCTTGCCCATTCGTGAATAAGACGGAAGCGTGTGTGAATACGAGAAAATCGCGAATGAGGTGGTAATGACGGTGTTCAAGATTTTCATGGTAAAACGTAAAATCTGCAAGGAGAAGAGTACAAGAGTTTGAGTTTGCCTAATAAAAGAATGTATTTTTGCCTACATCACTGAACAAGAGGCGTTTATTGTAATTCGAAAGTTTTGATATAAGCTATCTGCAACTGAGCCTCCAGAGGATACTAAAAAGGAAATTCATGGTACTGTATGATCTCCATAGCATTGATTGAATTCAACTCTCATGAAATCAAAGTGCCAAAATGCATAGACGCAAAAGAGAATGCGATTCCAAGGGTAGGCAAGTTATGATAAGATAAGGAATCGAACTGATGAGGAACATCACACAGTAGAATAGAATATCCATATTGTAAATATGACGGTGTACGAATAGTCCAAAGCAGAAAATTACTACTATTTATCGAAGTAAGAAGGTTGAAAATGGTGGCAACTGACGTGCTCACTTGGAGTGACAAATGCTGCAGATGCGTATAGATAGAACATTCAAGATTATTCTTCTATAGTAAAAAGAATTACTCTTTAAGCCATTTTTTTTTCAAACTACAAAACAGTAGAACTAGACAATGTCACAGACCTCAATTCAAAGTTCCAGATCTTTTTATATAAATCTTGCAGATTTGGAGTCACCACCACATACAAGTGTGGGGCATAATAACAGGCAAAAGATTGAAAGCCGCATAAGGCTATCTTTGGGAGAATGTAAGAAGTACAGTATTCAGGATTAGGCGATCTCAATTGATTCAAGTGAATGAGCTTCCAGTTTTGTACATTGATTGAAACTACAAAGAGATATTTAACCTATGTAGTGCGAATTGTAGGAAAATTTGGGCGAATTTGAGAACCCATCTGATTACCTATTTTAGTTTCCGTGTGTACGAATTCTAAATTTTTTCCATTCGAATATTGGTTTTCTTTAGTGTGAATTTTGATTTCTCGGAGGGCGAACATTGATATTCCGAAGGGCGAATTTGTATTTTCGATGGGCGACTTTTAGTTTCTTGAGAAGCGAATTTCGATCAACGTGTATGCGAGTTTTATTTGGGATTTGTACTTGTTACATGTTGAAGAGATCAGTCTTAATGAGTCAATCCACAAATTTATGAATGAGCGATTTAAAGTGTTTGATTGCAAAAGTTTTCATCTAAATACCCAGAAACCCATACGAAGCCCATCGGATTTGTATTCCCACTTGAAGTTAGGCGTGAGAAGTTTTGAATAAGACGAATACTTTCTCTGCCCTTTGTCATAATCTGTTCTTTTAAACAAAAAGGAGAATGGTACATTTTCGTTTTCCCTCGGCATAGCGAAGGCTAGAAATTAAATCTAGAGGTACAGATCACGGACGACTGTTCTTTCTTGTACAACATAAAATTCTGTCGGATTGGATGAAACTTAGCACCATGACGCTATTGGTGAAGCCTAGTATATACGAGGCCAAATCTATCGCTTCTATGCTCAAAACTTCGCTTTCAACTGAAGAATATGCCTTTGTGCCAAGCCTACATCCAGCAACTATAGTACAACAAACCTAAAAATGAATTTCTGTACTTACGGATGTCTGAGCTCACATGACACCCATTCGATTGGTGAATGATCCGACTAAACCTTGCTAGCAGAAAAGTCTACTTTCATTACATTAAATGCTTTTGAGTTGTGAATGAAGTTTGAGACCATAGCGTCCGCGGTAGCTTCCGTTGAACCATACTATACGAAACTAAGGTTACGAGATTCTCTCACAGAATGCAAATGACGCTTTAGTGTTCGTATAAAACAATCTTGGCCTTTTAGGTCGGTAATATCCCTCTTTAGCCTAATGTTGCATCAAAAGTAATTTTTGTAAGACTGTATAATGTGTTTGGGTATAGGGGTCAGGGAAAGGAACTATCCTTGTATCCGAATCCGAAAAGCGATTGCCTCCGTGTATCTACATTTTCTAAAAGCAGATTGCGACGCAGCTGCCAAATAGATCATTCCACAAAGGCTTAGTGAGACGATTTATAAATGGGGAAATTTCTGCTATGTGCGCGCTGGGCGGCAATATTATAGTAAGTATGAAAGCATGTGAAAGACTGACCACATTGGAGATAAATAATGCATTATGCACTATGCACATTATATTAATCATTGCATATATTTAGTGCATTATGCATAAAAGAGTACCGCGCAGATTCAATATGTGCGCTTTGTATGCCTCACCATAGGAGTTCTTTGATGTTTCTTCTGCGGGACATGAAAAAGTAATCTCTTGATTCACCCGACATCCCAAACTACAATTGATAGCGATTTCAAGATAAAGAAGTTTTGTTCGCTCATGAAATCAGGAGTATATTGTCAACTAACATGAATGACCCCTAGCCTAGAAAATGTTCAGTTCTACTAGTATTTCAGGGGGCAAGGCCATTTTAAAACTTGATTTCTAATTCTCCACATTAATACTGACACCCCAGATTGACCAATCTATATACATCCCAGAATGAAGCCAGGCTCTTGCTTTATATGATGCCTATCACAGAAACAATGTTTTACGTATTGAGCACTGATGACGCATGGAGAGACATGAAAGCCATCTTTTTGGTGAAGTTATAGATAGTATTATATTGGGAAGGAGAGGGTGAACTCATTTATGGTAACAACATGCCAATGGGACTCTAAGCATTTTGAGATAGAATCTCTATCCAAATTACGGTTGTTCCAATACTTTCAATTGCCGATATCTGCCCTGATTGAAAATGCATCACTATGATTATTTATCATTATTCGAATTTTGTTATTTAGAGGAGCAACTACCAGG